CTCGTATACTCTTCACATTCTTATATTATTTCATCATTTCAGGCTTGTTTTATATTTTATTTTCAGATAAATGTGTTTTGTTGTTTATTTCCTGTGGGAAACTGAAAACATCTTTTCTCAGGACATTCTGTTTTAAACAGGAGACATTATTATCACTGTCATTGCAGAGCAGACTACTGCACATGTTGAGAGTATGCTCTGGTATAAATGAAGTTGTTTTAACAGTGAGTGTCAGTAGAGTCGGGGTTTTCTCCGCCCTGTACTTCCTCTGTAGTGGGGTCGGTGCAGGAGATTATCCGGACTCTCTCTCTGCACACGGTGAAGTCTGAACACGGTCAAGCTGCAGGGTCAGCCTTAATGGGAAGAGTCAGGCAGCGTTCGTTATCCACACCGGGACACGGAGGTTCCACTAACGGAGTTGGCCATGAAACCGTCTCCGCCTGCTCGAGAGTGGATCGGCCTGCTTCGGTGTGATTTACAAGTCAACCCAGAAGTTGAGAGACGCATTGCGCCGAGCCACCCCATTGGCCAGTCGATCACATTGTGAACGTTTCAATGAGCCGCCATGTTAGGAAGCCAAACCCCCTTTCATTCTGCGAAGAAAAGAAGGCATTCACTTCCAGGGTAGTTTTCGGAAGTGCCTGTTGTTTACCGCCGAAATACAAATTGTTCTACCGTCACAAGTTGTGTCCTGGTCTGGTTCGGTTCGCCTTGTGTCTTTTATTCGGGTTTCACAGCTCCTCTTGTACAAATGGCGACCGCGGCCGCAACTCCGACCGGCCAGAGAAGCACGTGCGGTAGCGGCACACCGCTGAGCCCGACCAGGATCACCAGGCTGCAGGAGAAACACCAACTCAGGGACCTCAACGACCGCCTGGCCCACTACATCGACACAGTCCGTAGCTTGGAGTCTGAAAACAGCGTACTCCATCTGCAAATTAGCGAAAAGGAAGAAGTCCGGAGCAGGGAGGTCACTGGACTGAAAGCCCTGTATGAGACCGAGCTAGCCGACGCCAGGAGGTGTTTGGATGACTCCTCCAAGGAGCGGGCCTGGCTGCAGATTGAGCTGGGGAAGATCAAGTCCGAGCACGAGCAGCTTCTGCACAAGTAAGCCTTTTAGTACTCGATTTATACTTTACGGTCTAATACGGACAGGCATGCCCGGGGATTAGTGTGAAGCTGCAAGCTGACTTTTGATTTTCGAGCCACAACTGATCGATCACACACGGGACTCCACCCAGAGAAGAGCGCGCCGGTCACCCAAAGAAGAGTTAATGATTGCTGAGTTAGATTTGATGTAATTACAACATTTATCTTTTTTAAATTTGCAAACAACACTAGACGTTACTCACTCCCCATTGTCTGCGTTGCTGAAACTCACAACTGATCTTTTAAAGTGAACTTTTACCATAAGTAATGCTAAATAAATAAAAGATCCAATCGGTTGACGAACAGGTTTTGTTTGGAGAAACTGACCCGTGGTTTAATCAGAACGAGTCCGCGCCCCTGAAGGTAACATGGGTCATTCAGGGTCAAACATCAGGCTCTGTCTAGAATAAGATCAAGTGATTCTATTGTTCAGATAGTTTTACAAACAGTATTTTGGTTTTGCCAGTCATTTGTATAGACAGTACTCTATATTAATAAACATGAGTAGAAACACATTATTTGAATTTCTGTATATCCTGGAGATCTTGGCAACAGCAACTGTCTCACAGCTGTCAAAGTGCATGAATGGACAGAGTTTCCAGTGGGAAACAGTGGTGATTCCACTGTGTTCCCTGGAGTAAAATATCTGCTAGTTGACCAACTGCACAATTAATCTGAGTAATCACCAAGCAATTATTTATTTCCGGTCGGTGTATTTTTGAATGGAGGCCAGAATTTGGACTTTGCACCTGTGTGGCAAAAACTGTCACTTGTGACGTAACTGTAAGCAGTGTTGTACTGCTTGGTTGCATGTTGCTTGAATGAGATGAACTTAAGTGTTTTCTCACTGCTCCGCAGGGCTGTACAAGTTCTCCTGTTGGGTTTACTTAGCTTTCAGAGGCTCTAACAGAGCAGCTGCTTGGTTAAACACAGGCTGGAGGCCGAACTGCTGTAGTTCCAGTATTGTAATCAAACGTGCTTCGAACATAAACCATACACAAGTGATGAACTGTATAAAAGTGACACACACTCCTGCTCAGGTTAAGATGCATGTGCTGGTGGCACGTGGCTGGCAGTGTATGTTGTGAGTTCCTGGGCTGTTGAAGTCGGTGTGAGTATTTGTGCAGCCTCAGGACATTTGTCCCAGTTGAGCAGGTGTTTCCAGCAGCTGCAACAACACCAGTTAGAGTGGACAATACAACCATTATGTGTACATTATTTTTAAAACAGGCAGGGGCTGTTTCATTTTTATTCAGTAACTTTTAAGGTTATTTGCTGTTGGAGGCTACAGCCCACTTTCCCCATTCAAGTGAATAAATGTAACTGGACTGTGTCTAACAGGTTTTGTCTGATCTTATGTATGCATTCTGATCAATCCTGGAAGCTTTGCAGCGTTCTCTGCTATGTTTAAAACATTGGATTTTGTCTGGTCAGCCTTATGAAATCCACACATGGGGGGGACAGCTGTGCAATTTTAAATCAAGTCATTATTTTGTATTGTTTACTTCATATGTCGTTTAAATCCCTAATTTACTCTTTTTGTGATAAACACAGGTCTGTGTTGTTTTTTAAGCAATTTAATATCAATTAATGTAATTGTTGAATCAAATGTGCATCTCTACAGATAGTTAAAAGTTTAACCATAATGCCTGTGTACATCCTCAAATATCTCTGGGAAATTTTTAATTTGGATTTAATAAGAAGTACAATAACAGGAGCTCTTTTTGAATATACAGCTCTGATATACTTTTCGACTAATCTGTATGATAACTTTAAAAAGTATGTTCGGTAGCTGCTGTGTTCTCATATGGTTTACGGACAACGTTCCTGTGAAGTGAGAGCCTGGCCTCTCCCAGCTAATGTTTTTCAGTAACACGTGAGAAAGTTGACATACCACTCTACATTCCACTCATAGTTTGTCCACTTTAGTGGCAGTCCCACACCCATTTAACCCAGGGGCACACCATGAGAAAAATAACTGCTCTTTACTCACAAACCCACTGAAAGTCTTCAGTGTTTATTTAGTTAACCCAGGCTTACGACAAGGAAATGGAAGTCCTACGTGTTTTTACAATAAACATTTTCAAAACAGAATTCATTTAGAACAGGATTACAACTAAAATATTTTAAAACATAATGAAATACTGCATCTAGACTCTAGACTGCGGACAGCAGCAGAGTCACTATTAACTCAACATGTCACTGAAAAAATCTAAAATATGTGTGTGCGTGTAACATGTGGAACTTAGTCCTGCCCTCAGTCAAATGCAGCGTACAAAGAAGCTAGTGTGTACATAAAAGCAAAATATGGCAGAAAACCCTCAGCATATGTTTATTTGCTTTTTATTCAGCTAAGGTGCTTTGGAAAAAACATTCAAGGCATTGGTAGAAAACCCTGTAATAGGCAGTCCTGTCTCACAATGTTTTTAGAGGTGGTCATATTTAGAATTATGATTGATTTTTCTGCATTGAGACATACTCTTTCAATAGAGAATCACAATTAATCCTAGAATCATGGAATTTCTACAGCTCTGATATTTGTTCAGCATGTTTCAACACTGGTGGCTGGGTATCAACTTGTGCATTTACACTGTCCCTGCTGTTAGAGTAGCATTCTCTCAATTCAGCATGTTGAATATCTGCTGTCCCTAATACTACCACTGCAAGTTTATTTATGAACATCCCCTAGTGCATTGTGTTTGTCAACACTCGTAACTGAGAGGAAAATCTGGCAACTTTTTATGACCATCTAATGCAGAAAACAAGCCCAAGCCTTTCAAACCCAAGATCACTTTTTTATTCTTAACACAAGCCGAGATCTCCCACCCTGATATCTTCCAAAAAACCCACTTAGGAGGTTCAAATTTATTATTTTTGCAATTTCTGTTCAAGGCTCATTGTACGAGCATAAATATGAGTTAGTTATGCAACTTTATCTATTTTCACATTAATATAAATTCAAATTTACAGCATCGGTTTAATGCACAATATTTATTTAGCTTCTCGTTTCAACTTTATGTTCTGAGGAGCTGCTACTGCAGCACAATATTTTTACATAGTTTTGCCTTAATATGGTCATAAATACGGCTGTTTCGTTGTGTAAAAGTATTCCTGTATACTCAAATAAATACCAATACTATACAGGATGAAGCTGTGCATCTTCAGCTGCTGCAATCATTTCACAATAAACCCCTGTTTCTACATAAAAGAATGGATTTGGTCAACAGAAACGCTGGAGTGCTTCTATTTTAAAACGCATACAGAAAACCCTTGTTTGTGACATAAATTCATCAGATAAACATTAAAACTCAGTTTAAAGACCATTTTCTCTGTTTATTCTGCTGTTAATCACAAAGTTTATCTGTCTGTCACAAACGTACTTAATTTCCAACTCTTCCTGAACCCGTTTCAAAGTAAAACCACTCCAGAGTTTCACTTTCTGAATCCATTCATTTGTTCTAACAGGGCTTTGATTTTTTGAGTTTGGTGATTGACAGTGAAGACAGTGAGATTGACCTGGCGACCACTGACCTAAAGGGTTAATATACCTTTGCTTGCCATTGTTCATGTGTGGCTTAGGTCCTTGATGGCAGTCTTTGAGTTTTAAGTGCCTAAAGCAGACACAACAATCACAATCTGTCATCTACATGAACTCACCATGTCTTTGCCTCCTACCAGCTACAACAAGAAGGACTCAGAGGCAGCAGAATCCCAGGCCAGGTTGAAGGACTTGGAGGCTCAGCTCAACTCCAAAGATGCTATGCTGGCTACAGCGCTGTCTGAGAAGATGGGCCTGGAAGCCACCCTGATTGACCTGCGAGAAGAGCTGCAGGAGGTACTGCACTACTAACATAGATATTTTTACCTGTTCATTTGGACATTAAAGGAGTGATTCAGAGAGATTAATCGTGGCTATTTAAAGCTCAAGTGTAGTTGTTAGTATTGTTACTCTGATTCCAGTAGCTCAGTCCATAGCGACTTGGCTTGGGAACTGTAGGGTGGCCGGTTCAAGTCCAGCATTGACAGAAGTTGGAGAGGTGCCAGTTCACCTCCTGGGCACTGCAAAGGTGCCCTTGAGCAAGGCACCAAACCCCCCAATTGCTCCCCTGGCGCCTTCATGGCTGCCCACTGTTCCGTGTGTGGTCACTGTGTGGATTGTGTTCCGTGTGTGCTCCGTTCACATGGATGGGTTAAATACAGAGGTCAAATTTCCCCATGTTTGCATGTTGCATGCTGTGTGTGGGACCATAAAGAGGATCTTAATCGGAATCTTAGTGCTTCCCTGTCTGTTCAGTTTTTCTTGAATGCTGTTCTGACCATATTAAACTTGAGAACCATTTTAAATTCATCTAGACTTATTTTTAAAGCACAGTCTTGTTTGTGTGTGTGTGTGTGTCATCAGCTGGATACAGGTCTCACTCAGGCCAAAAAGCACCTTTCAGATGAAATGCTTCTGCGCGTTGACTTGGAAAACCGCTGCCAGAGTCTGACTGAGGACTCGGTCTTCCGTAAGAGTATGCATGAAGAGGTAAGAAAGGGAGATTAGTTGTCCAAATAGAACAGACAACTTCTCCCACAACAGCAAAAGCATGAGAATTTTCTATAGGACTGCAACAGTTATTAAATGAATTTTTTTTAATTGTTTAATTTCTTCTGTTTGTGCACCCTAACCAGAGTTGACTTGAATCAATTATGACAGGGTGAAACAGTGCTGACTCCTTACTGTGTTACAGGAAGTGAAAGAGGCCCGGCAGCGATACGAGACCCGACTGGTGGAGGTGGACTCTGGACGGAAAGTGGAGTATGAATATAAACTGACTCAGGCCCTGATTGACATGAGGGCTCAGAATGAGGAGCAGATCAAGATATACAAGGACAGCATGGAGAGCACCTACCTGGCCAAAGTAGGAAATCACACTCCTCACTTTTTAACTTAACTTTTAAAGTTTCAGTAAAGTAGAATCTCCATTCATACGCTAAGCCATTACATGTGATATGTGATCGTTCATCCCAGAGAAAGAGGGGTTGAGATCAGCGCTCAGTGAAGGCTGGTCAAGCTCTTTGACAACAAAGTCAAGCTCAGGGTCATTGCTAGCTACGCACTAGGATTGAGCGACATATTAAAATTTTCTAGTCTTCCACCGTCTGCAGAACAACCATCGATTCACAATATATTGGCGTGCTCTTTTGGTGTATGGACAGTGACAAGCTTACCTGGATCTCCCTCATATTCTGCCCTCTACATGTCTTAACCAGGTGGAGGCAAAAAGAGACTCTCTGTCAGGGTCACATGGACCTGGTATTGCATTACCTCCAGGAACAGTGCACCAACACAGTAGATGGCGCTAATGCACCTTGAAGTTAGTTGCCATAGATTTTATAGATCACAACTTTTGCATGAGAAGTGACATACGCATCTTTCAGACCCCGTTTTGTGCGTATGCAACATTTGTAAATGAGACTCTTACGAACAGGATGGATTTGGTCAGAAAGAGAACTACGCCCCATTGTGTGAGTCATCTGGGAGACCAAGCTGAATAACAATATCCCAGACGCTGTGATCGAAGTAGCTGGTGGTGGAGGGGGTGGTGTTATGTGCTTTCCCCCTCTGTTTTCACTTGAGTCTTCTGCTCACCTCAGTAACGCTCCTGAGTGAATAATCTTTAACTCTCTTAATAGACTGTGAGGTTACATCACAGGCCATGACCTCTGAGTGTGACAAGGTTGGAGTTTGTTAGACAAAGAATTATTAATCAATTATGATGTAAACTGATGTGATGATGAGTGCATTATGGTAAAATGTGAAATAACTGCATATGTTCATTTTAGCAGTGGTTTTTAAAAGGATTGGTTTATTTTGCTATTTGCATGTTTGTCTAGTCCTTCAGGACATGAATAAGAAAAAAACATTAAGACTGAATGAATATGAATATGAAAATACAATCATATGCTTTCCTAATACATAGTGTGCATGTAAGCTATAGTCTGTCACTCTTAGACATAATAACAAAGCCACCTTCGACAGAACTTCAGCAACTTCCTGTATGTCAGGAAGTGACTGACTGCACAGTTCCCTATAAGTGTGATGAGAAGGAAACAACGTTTATGTTGCTGACTCGAAACATCTGTTTGTTTGCAGCTAGAGGATCTGCATCAGTTGTCTGAGATGAACGGAGCTTCAGCCAACGTGGCCCGAGATGAGCTCAGAGAGTCCTCTCTGAGGATTGAGAGCCTCTGCGCCCAGCTGGCAGGACTGCAGAAGGAGGTTGACATTTTTCTTACTAATTAAGCAGCAATAGTGAGGCAAATTATAATGCAGGGAGTCTAGCTCAAGTTTTATGACAATGTGCTTTCACTTATGTGCATCAGTTTTTTTTTTTTTTTTTTTTAAAACAGTCTTATGCTCACCTTTTATACAATATTGGTTCAATCATTCATATAAAGGATTATCACAGATGAATTATCTGGATCTAGGTATATGTTCAAATTATTTGTTTCAGAGAATGTCAATTTACATCAATTAAACAAGTTAATTGATTTTTAACAAAGTTGGATTTAATTTTCATCTCAGCTATGATGGAATTGAAGCATGTTAAAAACATGATTAAGTGTTGTGACACACGCATCATGCTGCCTTCCTTTCTGACCGTGCTTGTATTCAGACCCGTGGTTGGCGTGATCGTATTGTGGAGCTGGAGGCCGCATTGACTCAAGAGAAAGACACAAGCCGCAAGTTGCTGGCAGACAAAGACCGCGATTTGATGGCGATTCAGGCCAAGATGCAGCAACAGCTGAATGAGTATGAACAGCTGCTTGATGTTAAACTTGCTCTTGACATGGAGATCAACGCCTACCGCAAACTTCTGGAGGGAGAAGAAGAAAGGTGAGGACCCGCAAAGATTGCAAATTGTGATCACATCAGTTAAATTTTCTCTCTGTTTCTGACACCAAATTAGTTTTGTCTACACCCAGACAGGAGGTAATTACTGGTATAGATAACAAGATATGACAAGGCCACTACACTAAAAAAAATGAAATTATTAAATGGTCATGGGGTGAATAAAAGAAAATGTAAATGATGTATTTGATCAAATATTGCTCATTCACTTCAGACTGTCTTTGAATAATGGTAAGAAAAAAAATGTGATACTCCAGTGTCTCTCCTACCTAATTTCAGCTCATGCATATTATCAAATATGTCTTGGAAATAACTATAACATGAGCATTGGCTTTAAATAGCTTTATCATTGGTCCGGCTGCGTTGATCCATAACAAAACAGTCAAAGCAGGCTTAGTTGTAGACAGCTTTGACTGGACAGCAGTAAGATGTGTTGATTGATTTTTCACTATATATATATATATATATCTGTTATTCAATGCTATATGCATTACACACTGGAACTGAATTATGGCTAAAAATGCTGCCTCGGATATCTACAGTTTAAATCTAATTATTCATAATTAAAAAGAGTTCAAGTTCAAAAGTTCAAGATGTTTAATGTATAATTTGCCTCAATTCAAAACACTTTAAAGTAAGTTTGAAGTAGTCACAATTAGGGGTGCACCGATATGAGAAGTTTGGCATAAACCAATATTCACATTGCTGTAATGGCTGTTTACCGATGTCTATATGATCTGTTAAAACAGGTTTCTATTTAAATTTTTATATCGTTTGAAAAGACCATAAATCATCTCAAGAAGTTAAAGGGCCACCATAAAAAACATAAGTATCTAATGGTAGATACCTTTCCAAATTGTAGCAAGTGTATGACTTAATGATAAAGTTCACTTGCATCTAAGAAAAACCTTGGACCATATAACTAAATATCCTGACAAGCTTTTATGACTAATTAAACTTGCCAATATTCATGTCATACTTATCAAGTTTTAAAACCGGTTTTGATTTTATCTCAAGGCTAAAAACCAAATGTTGAAAAATATCCCCACATAACAAGTTTATGAAAAATGTATAATGGTTCATTTAAATTTTTGTTTTTACAAAAATAAACATTTCTGCTTTTTCGCATCATAATGTAAACTTATCAAACCAATGATGAAATCTGTTTCCAACTATATCCATATTCAATTTAAATTGATTTTATCGGTCAATTGTTGCAGCGCCACTCTCCTCCGGCTTGATGTGTCATTCTGTGAGCAGGAAGATGATCCAGACTCACTATGTCACTTCTCATGCATGTTTTCACAATCAGGAGTTACCCTGCAGAAAACTGTGTGACCCCTCTGTCCCCTAGTGTCCTATGTCCTTCACGCTCAAAATAATGGCACAAATGCCAAAAATACTAAAATACAGGAGGCCTTATGATATCTAACTGTGGTGTGTGTCCAGACTGAAGCTGTCTCCCAGTCCTTCATCCCGTGTCACGGTGTCAAGAGCCTTGTCCAGCAGCCGCAGCGTGCAGACCGCTCGAGGAAAGAGAAAGCGCATCGATGTGGAGGAACAAGAAGCCAGCAGCTCTGTGTCCATTGCTCACTCTGCCTCAGCCACAGGACCCATCTGCATTGATGAGATTGATACTGATGGCAAGTTCATTTGCCTCAACAACAGTGGAGATGAAGTAAGTCCCTCTTTTTTTTCTTCTTTCCCTTAGCTGTAACCGTAGGATTCATCACCTCATTTATTATTGTGTTTGTCTCAGGACCAGGCCATGGTGGGATATGAGTTGACCAAGACTACTGGAAATGCTACAGCCACTTACAAGTTTACTCCCAAATATATTCTGAAGGCTGGCCAGAAAGTCATGGTAAGTGTTTGTCTTAGACTCTAATCCTTTTCAGCTGAACCTGGAATCGCTTAAATCTTATATCACGTATAGCATTTTTGAATAAGTTCTCTTTGCCTGTGCCATTGTTTTGTCTTAGGAACACCATTAAACCAACAGCATGTGCTCATACCTAACCTTATGAGGGTTAACCCTACCTTATTGCAGGACTTCTAAGTCTCTTACAAACTAAGCCAGATTTATGCCACGCTAAGAAAAGCCACTTCAGTGTTGTAGTTTAACTTGTAAACATTAATGCCTCCTCCTGGCTTAAACTAAACCTTGTCTGTGATTAGGGTTGCAAAAACATGACATTTCAACAGATTCATTTGAGTAGAACTTTAGTTTTATTTCTTGTATGAACAATTCTACAACAAAAACATGAATGTTGAGTAGCCTCTTAAATGGTRAATGAAATGAATWATAGCTTACATTTAGCACCTATTTTTATTTAATATTTCCAAGTTAAACATCAATATTATTATAGATCAAATATATTTACTCCATATTATTATCAAAACTTACTTGACTTCAGATAGTCCTCGGGCTCAAATGTGTGGCTCCAATAGTCTTGAAATCAGATGTGCATGTGATGGAGGAATGCACAGTGCATGTAGGGGGTGTGGCCTCAATAGCCCTGCAGTAAGCAGTGTGCTGTGTGCATGTGATTGAGGAGTGTACGTGAAGTAAATATGGTTGTTTTAGCCAAGATTATGCTACAATATATTTTCCCAACTATATTTAAGTTCCCTGTTGAGGGCCAACCTCCAATTTTGTAAATTTCAGATTTATTCCCGTTAATTCCCATATATTCCCATTAATTCCCATAGAAAGTTTCCAACTTTGAAAATTCCCGGACTTTTGCAAACCCTATCTGTGATACTGGCCATTGGATGTATGTTAGAAACTATGTACATCTGTCTCTGTCCAATCAACAGCATTCTGAATTCTTGATGCAATTATGGGGTGCATTCATCAAACCAGAAACATCTATTCTTGCTTTAAACCACAAATACAGGAAAGAAGTGACTGATGTCAGTAGCGTATGTGCTTAGTCACTTAATGTTATATTGTGTTGAATATAAGGCTGTTTTTTGGGGCTTTCTGGAGACTAATGTGCTTGTTTTTGTGCAGGTGTGGGCGTCTGATGCTGGTGTGAGCTCAAAACCTCCCACAGACCTGCTTTGGAAGAACCAGTCCTCCTGGGTTTCAGGCGAGGACATCCATGTGTCACTGATCAACCCTCAGGGAGAGGTACACGCACACACACATTCATTCACCGTCTACATCCCCATTCTCTAGGGATGGTAAGATTCACAGTTTACTGCAATTAAAAGTTAAGTGCAAAAAAAGAAGCTGCCCTCTAGATGTATGAAAACTATTTGCCCCTTAAGATTTCCACTTTTTCACTTAATTGCCGCATTTCATTGTCTCAGATCGTCCCAACTAATTTTAATAAAAGTGAAAGACTTTTTAAGTCTTTAACTTTTGTATTTTTGCACTTTTGAATTATCTTTTGTGTTGAATTTTAGTCAGTCTGAGGATCTGAAACATTCATTTGTGACAAATATAGAAGACATTTTTTTCAGAGCACTGTAAGTGGACTTGAAATCAGTATGCATAGTTTCTAAGATGTGTGCTTTGGTAAAATTTAAATAACTTTTAGCAGAGACTCTATGCCTTTTATTGTTTAGAAATGATCAATGTTTTTATGTCCAAGATTGATCTGTTTTTCCGCCAGTGAGTTAGAGTTAATTATACAATTAAATTAAATATTTGGAAAACTTGTATCCAAAGAATAATGGCATGAAGAATCCAGGTCCAGGCACTCAAAATGGTTTGAAAGATGTAAGAGGTCTTTATTTAAATGGGCTTGATGCTTTAAAATACACCAATGTGTATGGGCTCATGTCTGCATCAGGGTGTACTGACACACAGAGACAGAGTCATTATTCTCAGTCGCTACAGGTGTGCAGGGTGAAAACATGCAGTATTTGATCTGGCCTCTAGGGGCATGACACAATGAACAAAATGAAAAAGATACAAATATAGAGTCCCCTGCTGGCCATCATGAACACCAGAGTTGTTAAGGATGGTGCAGGAAGAGGAGAGATGAGAGCAGAAGCCTCAATAGATAATAAACATTAACATGTTTCTCCTTTGGCAAACATATCAAACAATACTATAAATGTTCTCAAGTGATACAAAATGTTTTTGACATATGCCCTTCAATAAGCACCAGTGGTTTGAGGTACACCAGTAGTGCTCTTGCCACCTCTTTCTTTTAAATTCAATATCTGTTGACTGGACGGATTTCCAAGAAGTATAGGATTATTAGATTAGTAAGGCTGCCCAGTGAAGCACCCAGTGGAAATAAAACTTCATGGATATTTTTGACATGCATTTGCGCAGGAGGTGGCAAAGAGAACCACAACGTACAAGACAGCCATAGAAGAACAGGAGGAAGAGGAGGAGGAGGAAGATAACGGAGTGGAGGCCATAGAGGAAGACCTCTTCAACCAGCAGGTGAGACTACGCATTATCAGATTTAGGATCCAAGTCCAGTTACTAATTTATATGTATAAGTTGAAAATCTTTACTGATGTCATTGTATAATTTGTTGAGAGCAAAATAACATAACAATGATCAATGGAGACCAAAATCATCAACTCATTGAGGACAGGATTCAAAACCACACGGCAAATCAAAGTAAAAAATTTAAATCACATGTGAATTTCATCACGGCAACTCCTGATGTGACTCAGTAGTGTGTATGGCCTCTGCGTGCCTGTATGCACTCCATTATCTGGGCATGCTCCTGATGAATCGAGGGTGGTGTCCTGGGGATCTCCTCCCAGACCAGGGCATCAGTTATCCATATATAACGTTGTGCTCACTTATTCGTTAACCAACAAGTCAGTTAAATTTGTGTGTGCTGGTGCCTTCTAACTCTAACTGGAAAATAAGTAAACTTCCCAACATATCAGTCTCTTTTAACCTCTTAGATTTTAAAATAATTTTCTATTTTATTCCTGGTAAATTATGTTACAACATTTTGTAGAGTAGTTTTTATACAGTGCCATGAATGTTTGTGGTCATTTTGCAGGGAGACCCCCGCACTGCCAAGAGAGGCTGCTCTATCATGTGATCCCACTGCACCAACCAACAGGCCACCATCACCCCTCTTTCCTCTGAGCCCAGCCAGTGTGCTGCCAACTGTAATACTAGAACTATTTTTCTATCTTTTGTAATAGTATTTCAATAAAGTGTTTTAATTTTTCTTTTATCATCTAATTTATCATAAAAATAGAAAACTGCTATGGTCACAGTATTTGTATCAAAACAGTAGAATTTGTAGTTCACAGCCTTTTTTCCTTTTTAAAACCAAGCAACAGGTAGCTAAACTCAAGGACAGACTGTAATTTTAAAACAGATTTTAATTTTGTAATTTTATTTTATATTATCTTAATTTTATTGTGGATGCTATACTCAAGGCCTTTAAATTACAAGAACAGCCACAAGATGTCAGTCATGAGTTAAGGTCATGCTGGCTTTTTCCGAAAGCAAAACATTGAGAGTATACTGCAGTAACAGGAGTTATTATTTCAAATGACTTGCTCCCATCAGTAATGACCTTGAAGTCAGGAGTTGCATATGTAAACTTGTATAATGGCATTCTTCTAGTATCTTTGGAAAACAACCGAAATGCCATGGTTAAATGATTGTATTGAAGTTTGATGAGCAGTTGCTGAGACACCTTAAAGCCCTTCGTGTGTAGAATCTGAAACTAAATCCTGATTGTAGAAGAAAGATTCTGACCTGAGTGCATTAGAAAGATGGACTGAAAGAGCTTCAGCTACTTTTCACCAGGATGCCTAACTCAAATAGACTCATGCCATCTGAATAATTGGACAGATGTATCGTTGTGTTCTACCAGGGGGCTTTAATGTGGCAGCAAACGAGACTTTCTTTCCTTGCATTGCAACACTAATTAAGTGTTGATTGTATTCTGAACTTTTGATATTTGAAGTGTTTGATGTACTTTTCTGTGTCAGTGTGTTACTATGCATGCTATTGGCTGTGATCTTTATAGTTGAAAGATTAAATGTTTTCTCGTACTTGTGTTTTATATTTTTATTCACTCAATTAAGAAGTCAGTAAAATAAATAATTCTGTATAACAAAACTATGAAATGTATATATCCTGTGTATCTCATTGACACACTGATCTGTTTAAAGTTTACTTTATTAGGCTTCTACACGTATGTGATCTTGACTACGTTTTATGCAAACAGTAGCTGTAGTAGTACTTTTAATTGATAAACATCCTCTAACAATACAGCTTATGACAATGGATCCATAACATCGTTCAAATGTAACTGTTTATTCACTATTGGACAATTGAATGTGCTTTGAGATGGAAGCATCTACATATTTCAAAACATGGGACTTAGGTCTGTTAATGTGTCACTAGTTAATCATGAGAAGCTAATCTACACAAGAGAAGGAAGCTGCTCTCATGGGTTTTGTGAAAAAGAGCTAAAATAATAATAATAATCGGATTAGTTCTGTTCTGGACATGCACTCATCTGGATTTAACAGAAAAGCATTGGCAAAATAATAGGGAAATTAAAAAATGTTGCTGTCAGGAATATGTCATTATTACCCGATGAAAGTCCAGAAGCAGAGCAGTGCGACTCCCGAAGCAGGAGGTGAGCGAGAGGTGCTCCGTGCGTAAAAGCGTTAAAACAAGTAACAATCTAGTTTTGAGAATGTAAAAAGTAGAAAGTACAGATATTTGTGTTTAAATGTAGGGAATAAAAGTAAAAAGTCTTCAGGTAAATAAATACTCAAGTAAAGTACAAATACCCCCCCCCCACCCACCCCCCCACCCCACCCCAGTGAGTCATTGTCCTCACGTTTCCATCTGTTCTCTCTACCATAAACACTGATGAGAGGTCACTGAAATGGTTCTCTGTATTAAATACACTGCAGAATATAAAAGGGTCTTGATATTGTCATAAACCATTAAATATCTTCTGAGGACAGTGAATTGAGGAACATGAACTTTTGATATTTCTTGTAAATCTTACTGATAGTTATGTTTGTTTTATTTGAGTAGGATTTTAATAAGACTTGTAATGGAGTATTTTGTTTTACATTAATGTGGGATTCCCTTTAATAAATTACAGTAATATATAACCAGATATTTATAATCAGAGTGAGCTCATTTGAAATTTAAATAATTAAAGGTTGAGTGTGTATGATTTAGGAGATCTGTTGGCAACGAGGGAACATAATATTCATAACACTGTTTTCATTTGTGTAAATTCACCATCAATTAAGAATGGTTGTCTTTTTTAGAATGAACCTGTATATCTACACTAGGAACAATAATGCAGTACAGACAAACCACTGCAGGTTCATCTATATCAATCTATCAGTCTGTCAGAGCTGAAATATGATGGTTACACAACTGTTCCTGGTCTCCCCCTATCTCGCTCTCTTCTCTCCCTTCATTTCCACCCACCTCTCATCTCTCCCCAGTTGTTCTCCCTTCACACCAACAGGTCAATGCAGACGGCCACCCACACTGATTCTGGTACTTCCAGTTAATAAGGGTTTTTTTCTCTCTACAGTCTCCAAATTATAAGGTCTCCACCTTCTATGTATAGCGCCTGGAAATATGTACATTATGAATTGGTTCTATGCAAATAAAATTGAATTGAACATGCAAACTCTACACACAAAGGCCCCCAGTCCATCAAAGAATCTTCTTGCGGTGATGCAACACTACCACTTCAGCACCGTGCCATGCTGTGAAAAGTATTGTGACCATTATACATAGGTGGGACAGTGGTTGAGAGAATGAAATTGCCTCGGCACTCACATCAGTGAGGATCTCACCAGGTCTCACACACATCATCAACAATCCCAACATTGACTGTTCTTCCTGAGAAGCTGTAGGATATTTGCTATACCATCAACAAGTCTCAGCAACTTTTACAAGTGCACAGTTGAGTGTCCTGACCGGCTCCATCTCAGTGTGGTCCAACTGGGGCAATTTGGGGCGCACAATATCATCAGGGACAGCACACATCCCCAACGCTCTTCAGACTCCCACCATCAGGCAGATTCTAGGAGTGAAAAGTCAAAGAGGACAAACAGTTTTTACCCACAGGCCAACCGACTTGAGAACAAACACTGCTCTTTCCCAGAAGTCTGACTGGTTGAACATTTGTGAACACAAACACACTCCAGTGAGCCCCCAATCAATAATGGACAACGCACTCTACAACATGTTGCAATATTGCATATGCACCCTATGACTGCTGCTGATCTTTGAACAACAATATATATCCACCCTGCATATTGATACCTTGTGTATATATTTATATGTAGTGGATATTATAAGTCTAAACACCCGTGTTAAAAACTTTAAACAGATAAAGGAAGAAAAATGAAGATTCACTCATTATCTACTCACCACTATGACGATGGAGGAGGGTGAAGTGTTTGAGTCCACAAATCACTAAAGGAGTTTCAGGGCTAAACACTGTTTAATGAATTGAAGTTTAATGTAGTTGATGTGGTTTAAATTATCTACCAATTCACAATTTACCGATTTGCTTTTACATGATTGAATTGGAGAAGCTCTGGTCAAGCCTGTCCTTTTGAGGGAACAAGCCTGGTGCATTCTGGGAATACCACAGTTCTTTGTCTTAGCTTTCTACGGTGATATATCACCCATCCGACTCTTTTTGCAGTTCTACTGTATAGAAGTCTTCCTTTAAGTTGAACTGGTGGACCAAAAAGAAAGGTATGAGATAAAGATGGTCAAATAAAGATTCATTGCAGAAGGTTAGGGTAATCAATGGAGAAATTGAGAGTAAGGGCTCCAGCAGGTGGAGGGCTGAGGGGAAGGAAAGGATTACATGGCTGAGCTGAGTGGATAATGAAGGCTGAGAATCAGGCAGGTGATGCAAAGGTTTGAAGGGGAGTGCTGAGCTGTAGCAGGGTGCAGGCTATAAAGCTATTAATCACAACTCATATTCATGATTATACTCTTTGACAGTAACCTGAGCAGCTAATTTAAGCTGCTTTCGCTGGACATTCTCCGGGAGGGACAAAATGTTCAAGGTTCAAGCCTCCCGAATTCTCCAGGGAATGTCCAAATGAGCGTGTGAGAACACATAGGAGATCCTCTGCAATGATTCACTGCAAGCGTGTATGATGATGATGTTTCTAACACGCTACTGACACAAAAATTAAAATACAAATAAAATAATACGAATATCTTGAATAAAAAAGCGCTGCCATGCACGTAGAGAGCTTTTGGTGTCGATGTGTTAAATGTCCTGCCTCTGCCTGCTGAACCACCCCTCACCTGGAGATTTCTGTATTGTTGTGAACACTTTGCCCCACTGACTGCTACACAGCATTGGTCACCAGTTTCTTCACTTTTTTATTCTTAAGAATATTCAGTCTAACATTTGAATTAAAAATATTAAAATATAGATAAAACATAAATAAAATAAACCAAACACAACCCAAATATAGCTCTTGAATAAAAGTTCAGTTATGTTCATGTTCTAATAGCTTGTGATGAGTGTTGGTGTTTATTGTTAAAGTGTACAGTGAGTGTGTGGAGGGAGGACACACCCCATTTAGTTTAACTGATTCTTATGCAGTGACCATCTTGAACTTGATCTTGAACCAGACATTTCCTCATGCTTGCTTCTTGTTAATCCTGTGTTTACCTGTGCAGATCCATTGTTACCAGTTGCTCCAGTTTGTCCTGCTCTCCTTCTCTGTCAGTTGCTGCAGTTTGGATCTGTGATCCTTATAACGTATGATGTCCTTTAATGCAACAGTATTTACATCATATTTTCCAACACACACTCACAAAAAGGAGACTCTTAAAAGTCTCTCACAATATGCTTCTGTTGAACTGGTCTGCATACAGAATAACATACATCTCTTTCCAACTGTTCAAATAAAACCTAACATCTGACTTTGCTCTGCAGTGGGACAGAGTGGAAGTAGCCTTCCCATGTCAAATGAGTACACCCCCCTCCAATATCTTATCTCTCCGGGAACTTTCTGAAATGATGTCCCAATTTCATAGTTGCTGATATGTCATGTTAATAGATTACTAAAACAATCAAACACTTGAGAACCGTGTTCAACTCTCATGAGAGAGACTTAGTTACATACACTAATAAAGTACTGATGAGGGATTATCTTATATTTCAAAACACACCACAGAATAATTTGATATAAACTATTGAACTTGATCTTTTACCTGGGAACAAAAGAGTTAAAACCCTATATAGTGCAAGACCTCATACCAACATATTATGGGCTCAATATATCAGTGTCATGGTACAGAAGAAGCAAGTAAAACCGCCAAGGCAGCAATATGTTTGTATGTTAAATGAATCCCTAAGCATGGAATGAATCTATATAACATTATTTGCAGGTTTGGTTTACATCACACAGGGGTGAAAACACGCCCCTGACAATGATTGTGTGTATGTGTGTGTATGAGGTAGATCTGGAGGAGGAAACACAAATATGTAAACGCAGGCGTTAATTGGCAAACCTGTTACAGTGTATGTATTTTGTTCTTTAGATTTACAGCAAATTAGCACACTTGACTGATTTGAGACTTTACATTTAGGACGGTCCTAGGTCATTTCAGGCAGATTGTGAGAGGATGGTGAAGTGATTTCAGAGTCCTCCCTCCATCTCATCTCAACTACTGTCACTTGATTTCACTTCCAGAGATATTGTCAAGTTGTTTTATTTAATCACTTACTGTATACAGGAACTGCACTCAGGGGTTTCCCTTCAGAATAAAACGCTCAGTATGTTTGTCTGCTCTGTAATATGTGATATGATCCCATTCACAGCACATATTCAACTACATTGTGTTGCTGTGTATAGTCTTTTTAAAAAGAATAAATATGTAATGTTGTTGTGACATGTCCACCAAGTACAAGTACTTTTTTAAAGTAATGCACATATGTGTAATTTAATGTTTTCTAATAAGAGAGTATTCATGCTTAATTAATTATTACAACCAGTCTGACTGTAAATTGATGGTAAACTACAGCACTTTGGATAAAAACTACTCATCCACATTTTTCCAGCATTGTGATATTTTGTTTGTCTGTATCAAGTTCGATTCCCTGTCACTTTGTCCTCTCTTATTTTGAAGGCGACACCTCTCTTGTTCCGGCCTCACGCTTTGTGTGTACACACGGTACACACACTCTCTCTCTCTCTCCTCCTCCTCTCTCTCTCGTCTCTCTCATCTCACTCTCTCTCTCACACACACAGACACACACAGACACACACACACTCTCTCTCTCTCGTCTCTCTCATCTCTCTCTCTCACACACACACACACACTCTCTCTCTCTCTCTTACACACACACACGCACATATATCACCTGCAGCATGTAGCAGCGAGAGAGAGCGCTCTTGTCCTCTGGTTGTCTTCACGGGTCTCCATCGTGTCCTCTCAGCCGCAGACATGACTGTGTTTCTGGGATGGCTCTCGGCCCTGGCCATGGGTGTTGTTTCCGCTCACGTCCTGCTGAAAGTCTTCTTCCCGTACTTCTGGAGGGACCTGTTGTTCCTGATGAGGGTGATGAGGTGCGGAGTGAGGCTGGAGCTCTTCAAGTTCACCTCCAGCGTGCGCACGGTCCTGGAGAGGTTCGTGGAACAAGCGCAGCGCTCCCCCCACAAACCGTTCGTCATCTTCGAGGGGAACGTCCACACGTACCGAGAGATCGAGCAGCGCAGCAACAGACTCGCCCATGTTTTCCTGGAGAGTGTCAACCTGAGGAAAGGAGACTGCGTTGCCATGCTCATGAGCAACGAACCCGACTTCCTGTGCGTTTGGTTCGGGTTGGCGAAAGTCGGCTGCTCGGTCGCTTTCCTCAACACGAACATCAAGACCAAGTCTCTGCTGCACTGCTTTAACTGCTGTGGAGCCAAAACTCTAATAGTTGGATCAGGTAAAGCTGTCACCTCTTCTGCTATCACATCACTGGCACACTTCACCACTTACTTGACTACTTTTAGTGGTCAAGTGTGTTTGTGAGTAGCTCCACGTGCACATTGTGTTGTGTTATGAAATGATACTGAGAGAGCTGCTAATCCACCTTATCCAAATCAATACAATAAGGAAATGATTAAAAAAGTATGTGTTTGTTCTGCAGAATTGTCCATATTCAGTATTATTTTGATTAGAAATAAGAACCATTTCCAGAACAGTGAAATTTGACTGGAGGTGTGGATTTTAAAACTTATAAACACTAAGTTTGAGCACGTTGATAATGAGACCTGAGAAATGTCAAGAACTATATTTATTAACATGAAACTGGAAGGGGGTCCAAAGTCATCGGAAAGACTTTAAATACTGTATAAACTCTGTTAATGGAGACAATTGACCTCTGTGCCGTAACAGTCCGATGCATGCAATGACGTTAAAGCGTCACAGTTTCATTCAGTTTTATTTGTATAGCACCAAATCATAATATACATTATCTCAAGGTACTTTCCATCATAAGGTCAATTCTCTTTTTTCAGAAAACCCCAGCTATGTACAAGTACCTAAGAGCTTAATACATTTATATGAAGTGAGTTAAGATACTCATTTACTTTCCACCACTGATTTATAGCCAGTGCACCTTCATTGGTCTTGATCTCAGTCCTGTGAATGTCAATAATTTTCTATCTAATTCCAGGAGGTGAACATTGTACTTATTGACATTTGCCAATAGTGTCAATATCCATGTGTAGTGGTGGTGGGGGAAATAAACAGATGAGTCTGGTTTAAACAACAACACCACCTGGGGAACTGCACCCCAGGCTCTACTGTTTCAAGGTCCTTCTCTGAACACCAATCAATATACAAGTTCACAGTGACAAGAGGCAGAGGCTTGTTCTTTTTATAAGTGACACATATGTTATTGAAATAATTCAAAAATAATTGGCTAGCAGGGGCTGGAACTGCTAGGGAGAAAAAAAGGGTTGATAGACAAACAAAAAAAAATTCCAACACCAATTCAAATGTTACTTCATTACATTACACTAAATTTAATATAATAACAAAACCTTAGATCAATAATTTCTGAAAACTATAAAAGTCAGCTCAACTTAAAGGTCCAGTGTGTAAGTTTTAGGTGAAGGGGAACTATTGTCAGATATTTCATGTGGAATAATCTTCATGATGTTTTCTCTAGTTTGTTTCATCTGAATTGTATGAATTGTAGTTTTCTTTACCCCAGAAAAGGCCCTTTATATTTAAATACTTTATATTTACATCAGGGGACCCTCTACATTAGTGCAGACTGGACAAACTAAACACCTTTTGAGTTTTCATGACAACTGAGGCTACCACAGGTTCCTTTTCATGTTTGGAAGGAGAGGGTGAGGTGAGAGGTGTTCAGCTGCAACATGCAACTTCAACACTAGATATCACAAAATTCTACACACTGCACCTTTAAACAAAGGAAAAATGGGGATATGAGCTGAGGCCACATGTAGAGAGGCAGACTAACTGAGGAGTGCCCAGGGTGCAACCAGTAACTCACTTCAGGTGCAACCCAGAAAAAGGTGCAGCAACAATGGTGCATTCATATTCCAGTGCTCTCACTCACATACGTAAAGGTGGGGACCTAACCCAGAGTGGCTAGCCTCCCAGCAATGTGACACTCAGCTGCACTGAAACTAATATAAAAATTAAAAGCAATATAACCACAAACGGCATAGCCCAGTTGTTCAAATAACGAAAGATAACAATTCAAACAAACTAAGCAATAAAGTAAAACGCTGCCAAAAAGTAACAAAACCAATATTGACAAAACAAAACCAAGCAGCAAAATAAGCCAGCAGCAGGTTAAACACCTCTAGTGTGGGGCCTCACAGCCAGGACAACAGGGGCACATGCAGGCTGTTGCCATCACTACCAGACACAACCAAGGAAGACAAGAAGCAGAGAAAGAGCAGAGACCCACAGGTGCCTTATATAGCCTGGCTCTGATCAGGGGTTTGGATGGAGGAGGAGTCAGGGGGCACACACTGGGGAGACTTCCCTACCACCCATAATAACTGATGCTGTACTAACCTGCTCTTAAACCGAATGATTTAAGAGGATTAGATTATGTGACATTTCATTTAGCTGATGCTTTAATCCAAAGGGATTTACAATAAGAGAACAAACAAATAATGTATATCAGCTTCGAAAAGACAAACTACAAGTGCTACATGTAAGTGCAACTAAATATAATTTATTTTACTTCATTTTTTATTTTTTATATAAACACACACATTTGACGATGATTATTAGACATCATCTTCTCAACCAAGGAGTCGTCAGAAGAGATGTGTCTTTAGTCTGCGGTGGAAGATGTGAAGACTCTCTGCTGTCCTGATGTCAATGTGGAGCTCATTCCATTTAGGAACCAGGACAGCAGACAGTCGTGATGTTGTTGAGAATCAGACCGAAACCTGTCAACATCTGACCAATCAGATTACTGGACAACCAGACGAACAGAGTTTACAGTAAAGGGACAAGTGATAAAGAAAAATAGATATTTTTTTATAGATTAGTCAAATCATGTTACCGTTCCAGACTTTCCATGTGTCCACAGGGGGCAGTTTATCACACACTAAATAAATGCATAATAACTGTTCATACGAATGTATACAAAAAGAAAAATGATCTGGTCTGTTAAGCTGAAGTAAAGAATCTGAACAGATGTCATTAATATGTTCCCCCTATTTATTTACCGAAGACTCGCAGATGTGTCCAAATTGCTTGGTATTTGTGGAGCATGCACTTGTGAGTACTCAAACGTATGTTCCGACCACATTGCATCTTATACTTAATTTCTAGATCCTGTCTTTGTTGTTTCAACAAAGTTTTGCAAAGCACAGTGAAAACTGCCCCTTAACACACAAGGTGAAGCACAACCGAGTGGAGTTACTTGATGTACACAATAGCAACTGGGAAAAACGCATCAGTGGTGTTTCAGCCATATTGACCCTCCTGTCACTGTCTGAGCCTCTCTTCCCCCTTCTTCCAACAATTTGGAACAGCTCCGCTTCTGTTAGTTAACTGAATTTGAACCGTTAAAAGGATTTCAACCAAAGAAAATTGATTTGAAAGTCGAAATGCTGAAACAAAAAATAGTGAATATGATGACATCAATGGGCATTTCATATTTTACTAGTTAGAGAGGATATGATATAAAATGACAGTTAATTCAGTTTTTATTGCTGACTAATTACAATTATTCATACTGTCTAACATAGCTTTACATACAGATTGAGGTTACTTTAACAATTTCCAGTTTTACACTATAAATCATTATAGAGTTATAATATTTAACAAGACTTTTGTACTTTTCATATGCTAAACATTTTATAAGCCCCTTAAATAACATGTAGTTTACAAGTACACCCCTTGATTTTGTTGTAATTGTCCAATAATGCACCACAACTGCCAAGTGTCCTTCCATGTCCCTGTTCTGAAAGTCAGCTGTGAACTGTGTGGAGCCAGAACGTATTGCTCAATCTGGGAGTGATCTCTGAAAACTGCCAAATCTGCTGCAATTGAAAACAAATGAAGGCATTTTATTCTCTATCCATTGTAATGATACAGCAACATAATATTTAGTTGAACAACATTCAGCTTCCCCCATGTTTTACTGCAAGAATCCTGCCACTGCAGTTAATAGGATTCACCATGCTACAGCCATGTGACAGGATGACAGATCATTGCTCAACCAAACAAGCATGATGTTTGTCAGGGACGCTGTCCTCACCACCACCCCAGTGCAACAGGAGAGTGTATTCATGAAATTGCTGAAAAAGGCAGACACTGATGAGAGTAGTGTGCATAGAATATTATATTGATATTTGAACATTATTTTTATGACATAGTCTCACCTGCCTACACACGATATACAGTGTATACACTGTCATGATGTCATGTATTTCACAAAGTTATCCCAAAAACAGCAAATATCTAAAATATATGACATGCTCTACAGGATATGTTTATTACTTCCAAACATGAAAAAGAAAACTGTGGTAGCCTTTAATTGTCATAAAAACTCAAAAGGTGTTTAGTTTGTCCAGTCTAGACTAAGGTAAAAAACATGGCGGCCTCCGTAGAGAGGGTCTCCTCGATGCAAGTATTTAAATATAAACTTTTCTGGGTAAAGAAAACTACAATTCATACAATTTAGATGAAATGAACTAGTGAAAACATAATGAGGATTATTCTCCATTAAATTTTTGCCAATAGTTCCCTTTTCACCTATATCACCTTAGGCACTTTTAACAATGCTTTTTAAGATAATGAGATGAATAGTTTTTTTTTATCATTATCATCATCAGTGAACTGCAAGTACAGTAAACAGAACCTAAAATAAATGCCTTAAAAACATCATCGGTTCTCTTTGGTACACTTGAGCACAGATCAAGGTACTTGGCAGCTGGGTCCACACATGTTGGACGACTTGTCACTGTTGTGGAGGTGTTTTCTAATTGATAGGATTCCAAACATCAAAAGCGCCCAAGATTTCCTCTGTGCTGTATATTGTATGAAATAAGGTCAGTATATGTGAAATAATACAATATTCTGGCTCACACAGCAGCGTTATGCTGTGTTGTGCAGATTTGTAAATGAATATGAAAGTTATGACATACAATGCATAACTTTGTGTGCTTATTGATATAATGCATTTAATTAATTCTGTTCAAAGGTCAATTTATTTATATTTACATTTTTCAAAAAAAGATACAAATCAGTTTTTCCTCTGTCCTCTGGTGGCTGTTATCATCCAATGTTGCTTGAACACACAATGTATCCTTAGAATCAACACACTCCCGTTCAGAAAATATTATACAAACAAGCCTCCTAGACAGAATATGTGAAATAATTTATGACTGAAACTGTGAAAGATGGTTGCACAGTCCATAAATCTCTTAAATCACTCCTTGCAGAGTCACCATAAAACATAGGTTTGAACTTGTTAAAGTACTTCCTATTTGTTCTGATGCCTCTAGAACACACTCAGAACACACATTTCTTAACAACATGCTCACAATCAAAAGTTTAGGATTGGAGGAAGCAGGAAGCGAGGCAGGCTGAGAAGAGGAATTATTCTAAATGATTCAAAGTATCCTGTAATATTCTTCACCCCTAGACCTGGTGGAATGTTTGGATGGAATCCTTACCAGCCTGCTGGAGGACAACATCCAGGTGTGGGTCATGAAGAACAGTGAGCACAAACAGGTACACAGTCTGTTGGATAAGGTTGCTGCCGCCTCTGACCAGCCTGTACCAGCTGAGCTACATGCCACCACCTCTCTCAAATCCCCCACCCTGTACATCTTCACCTCTGGAACAACTGGTGAGTTTTTGAACAGGCCAGTGGGGATAGTCGTGATGATATCACATGCAGTGCAATGTTACATGTTACATCAATGTGTAATGTTATTGTGTCGGATAGCAACAGAGTTCTTGTATTCATTTTGGTTCATTATTTCTTTTTGCAACTGCATTAGTAATGCAATTTTACATTACATTATGGATCTAGTTTTTTTAATCAGAAGTAACTGCTGCAAGGTTCAATGCCAGTTTTATAGGTACTGGTGTATCATTGGTAAACACTGCACTTTACTTGCCATTCGAGGAAAATCTCATGACAAGGTGTTGAGAATATAGGACGAGATGTTGAATATCCCCTGTATGTTTGAATGTCTTCTGCAGTTGATGTAATCGGATGTTAGTGACCACTGGTGGATGTTAGGGACATCTTCAGTTGTGTACCTTAGTGTAATCAGGTGTTTCTGCCTTTTAATCACCAGACACTCTAAGGCAGGCCCATCACAGATTGATCAGACCTGGGTGCATGTCCCTGCATCTTGGGGCCCAGTTGGAATCTTTCCTCCAGATTCAGAGTCATTGGCTGCACTGTTCTGCAGTGTGATGTTTCTTTTGTCCATAGATCCCCAGATCTTTGAGCAAGCTGATGGTGGATGATGCAGGGAAACCCCTGCAGCAAACCTCCACAGGGCAAACTATTGAGTTCCAGCCCTGTGCTCTGCCTCAAATGCCATGTCTGTATACCTATACCTCTCATTCGCTTCATCAACATCATCCTCCCAGGGAACTGTCGATTCTACGAAGTAGACGACACACAGGGTGTTGGACGAGATTATCAGGTCAGGTCTTAGGGGGGCAATATGTGATTGGACTATTAGCTGCTGGCCCAAGTTCACCAACATCTACCAGTCTCGGCCTTCTCCTATTGACCACTACTGGACAGTGGAGGAGGCCCTTTCTGACCCTGTTCCCCCTCACGGACAAAAGTTGTCCTTTGGACTGCTATTGGTGTTTTTGATGGCAAGGCATTGGTAGCAGTTCTCTTTGTTTCTATTGTTGCTGCAAGGCATTTGAGTACCTGGTTGTGTCTCCACACATATCTTCCTTAGGAGAGACTTATTTTACAACCAGTGAGGATATGCCTGAGGGTAGCTGGAGTTGAGCATAGTGAGCAGGATGGATCTTTGTTCAGCCACTGCTGTAGATGTTTGGGTGAAGGAAGGCTCTCATATATTGCTCTAAGCAAGAAGCTAATCCTGCCTGCTTCCATCCCCCACAGGTCCTTCCAGCTGATCTTTCTTTTCTCTATGCTTTCTCATTTCATCCACTGCCCCTGTCTGGCTTGGGTGACAGCCTACGTACATCTTGCTACCTCTTCCTGATGCTGGATTACCAGGACTACCAATTTTCAGTGCTCTTTATGGAGTTGCTTTCTTCCACAGGGGTCTACTCTAACCTAGGCCCAAACCTCCTCTATCCCATTGAACATGGCCCACAATGTCAGCGTGCTAGTGTGCTGCTTTTGATTGTTGAGTTGCATGTTTTGGGGTCTATTTCCGTCCTGTTGTCAATGATGGTCCAACCGCCCATATAGATATCTCTTGGGATTCTGAGAGGGTCATCTCCAGCCTTGTTTTGGTGCATTTAAACTCCTCTACATGACTTGAGATAGACAACTTGTGAATGCCGTGTCCATACAGACTGATGTTGCTTAGAAATCTTGGGACTCCTAACCTCTTTCTCACATAGGAGTTGATCGTTCTCATCTTTTGTGAGGAGAAAGTCAACTACTGTAAGGGGCCACATCAGTCGGGGTTAAAGGCCAGACTGTAAGCACCAGAACTTTAGCTTGCCACTAGCATGGACTGGTCGATGTTCTTAAGACCTCTGTTGACATCCTGCTTCAGTTGCTGGACCTGCTCGCAGTCTTTGAGGCTTGCATCGTCCAAGGCTTTTTATTGGTTTGTCAGACACTGTTAAAATGGGTTCTACATTAATGTAGAACCCATGGTCTGACCTCTTACCTTTGCTTATTGAGATGCTTCTTGATTTTGATAGATTGATCCTCATTCTGGCCCATGTGATCTTCAAGTCTTCAAGTTTCCCAAGCAACCGTCTGGTGCATGGTGCTGTTGTGATCAGGGTTGTCATGTCGTCCATGTAGGCCCTGATTGGTGTTATTTGGACCCCCGACTTTTGTCACTCGCCACCTACTACCCATTTTGAAGCTCACTCTGCCAGACTGAGCAAACAGGGAGAAGGGTATTGGTAACAAAGGTGACCAAGCACCTGATGTTATATCTGGCTGAACTCCAGAGATCCTGTGTGGATAAGAGTACTAGTTGTTCTACTTCTTCCATTTTAAATCATGTAGGACACAGAGGCTCTTGTGAACATATTTTGCAATTGTTTGCAGGCAGCTCCTTCAACCTCAACCACATTGCCTAAGACCTGATATATAAGGTGTAGTTCTTTCCAAATCTTATCTAGTCAGATTAACTTAACACAGATGGACTCCAACCAAGGTGTAGAAAAATCTCAGTGATTATCAAGACAAAAGAGAGACACTACTGAGCTATTGTTAAGTATTCAGACCCATGAAATGTAGATGAGACTATGATGATGAAAATATTGTTTCCATGTATTTTCTAATATGATCACTCCTCACTCTTTTAGAAATCTTTTGCTTGTTAGGCTATATCATACAGTAAAAGGAATTCTTCCTTTTGGAACAGGACAGATTTTTGCATACTTCCATTCTAAAGGAAACCTCCCTTGTTGCAGAGAGAGGTCACAATAATATATTGTTTTAAACTATCCTAGACAATCGGATCCATTTTGACTGTGATCATTTGCTTTGTGTATTACAAAATTATGATAAAGTTGCACATCAGCCACAAAGGTAGTATCATAGGTGCATTTACCATTGAAATCAGCACCGATATTGTCTTGCATTGTTTTGAATCAAATGTTTTTTTATATGTCATGTAGTGCAGTATCATGTCTTCATTTCCACAGGTCTCCCCAAGGCTGCCGTGATCACTCACCTGCAGAGTTTGAAGGCAGCAGCAGGCTTTTGGGCATTTGGGATGACTGAAGATGATGTGGTGTATATTCCGCTGCCACTCTACCACAGTGCAGCTTCTTTGGTCGGTATAGGAGGAACCATAGAGCTGGGTAAGATTCAGAGTTTCTTCATTACCCCACAACTAATCTTAAATCTCTTTATTTACTATATGTTTTAATAATTTCTGTCATCATGTCAAAAGAAATTTACCAAACCATTATGTAGATCCAGTGTTTTAGTCCAGGTAACTGTGCTATGAAGCATGTTCAACATGCCCATATGTACCTGGCTTCACTGAACCCCACATTGGTCCATCCTGGATAACCTGTACTACAAAGCATGTCACCTGTCTCAGTTACTTCTGGGTTTACATACTTAACTACATGCATGTTCAAGTGGACGAGGTGGAGCAGTTAATTACAAGACATCGTCAGAAAAATTAATCAACCTGCCAATCTAGTTGAGTTTTAACAGGGACAAAAATAACGTAGAAACCTCAGAGAGAGCCACATGTSAGGGATCCCTCTCCCAGGACGGACAGAAGTGAAATAGATGCCACGTGTAATGGCGAACGTCAGAGAAATAAGAGTATTTATAGCATTGGTTAGAGTAAATAGTTTGCAGCATGGTGGAAGGTAAATTAACTGAGTAATTATTGTCAGTAATGGTCGAGTATCTGAGGAGACATATTGTATATCAAGCAGTCTTGTTGTAATCATAGTCCAACATCAGCTGCCACCACGATCAGGATCCACCAGTATAATCCATCATCATGCTCCACCATCAGCTGCCACCTTAGTCATGGTCAAGATGTGATGATGTGTGTGATGAGCTCTGTCTGTTTGAAAAGTTAATCTGTTATCATGAGGAAAAATGGATAATTGTTTTATAAAATTCCCCATTGAGGAACATTTTTATTACACCTCCTCTTCTGTTTTAAAACAGAAACTTGAAGTTAGTAAGAGTTATCTGTAAAATTAACTCCTACTCTTTATTGTTTGTCACTTTGCTGTAAACTCTTTTGTCCCTGTCAGAATCCTGTTGATCTATGACTCTGGTGTTCTTCTCATCTGATTGGTCAGTAACAGGGCCGTTGAGAGGTTTTGATCTCTGAGCTGGAGCAGTTTAGGGGTTCAGCATAAATTACTATGGTGAATTACCCTGGTAAAAAATAAAAAATAAACATTCATGACTGAAAATCCAGATTTAATCCTGAGGTTACCTCAACAACCCTATATCCTGCTTCGTAGTACAGACCCCAGGACGAGGATTCAAGTCTACCAAGTCGTGCAATCGAAGTAATAAGAGAGAAATTGTGCGTATCTTCCCTCAGTCCCAACTCTTCTTTCTACTACTCTTCTTGCCAAGGAAAAGGCACAGCGTTTGTCCTCGTCTTCTATTGCTTTGCCATTCAGGCTGTGATCCTTCCTTTGACTTAGATGTTTCTTTTGTGGCCCATCCAGACACTTTTCCTGGAAGGACAATCTATGAGTTAGATAGCAAATAACAGCTACATGTGGCATGAAGATGAAGATCATAGAGTAGCAGTTGTGTATTGAAGTATCTGTCCTCTTTTGTAGCCTTTGATTATAATTATGAAAATGAAAGTAATTTCATACTTAATTCCAGATTTGCATATAATTTATATTTGAAATTACATTTAAAAAGGGGATTAGGGGTTAGAGGTTAGGGGTTATAAATGTTAGTAATGCAGATTTTTAAAAAACAAATGATGATAACAAGTTGTTGGTGATGTATAATGTCATCTGAATGTGAATGAAAATGATTTATTATTGAGTGAAATCAGGAGACACAGTCAGAAAGGGCAAATTTTGGTTTGGGTCTTTGTGTGAAGCAGATGAAATGTTACTTTTTTAGAAATTGTAGCATTTTGTAGTCAGGACTGCTCACAGAGTCCAGTGTCCACGAAACTATGTGACCCCTTTTGAGGACCCGCTGTTTCACTTCAACTAGCAGCTTAATTAGACACGTTGAGCAGGAAGTGAACACTGGAGACTATTATGAAGATTATCAGTCAGTTGTGCTTTTGATAAAGCCTCAGTTTCTGTTCCAACTGCTACTTTGGCAGTTTGATGTCTTTCACTGGCAAAGACCAAAATCCCACCAAGCTGTGCCAACAAACCTTTGGGCAGTGAACTGACAGTTTAGTTGTTATATAATAAACATGATAAACCTTGCACACATATCACATTTAGCCTGTAGACCCCATTTAGAGCTGTTAACATCCGTCCTGAGTGGTCCGATCACAAGTGGACCGCTCGAATCAAAAGTGTGAAAAACACACTTCCTCAAACTAGCTAGTTACATAATGAACCCACTTTTTAAAAATTATTTGTTTCGCAAATATTTAATTTGTGGCCACCACCACAACATTTACATCAACTCTCGTCAAAGCTCTGCCCACGTGAACAGGTACTTTTCCATGACTTGCTCGCTAACTTCTGGCGATCGTCCCCGCTTCAGTGGTTTATTTCTTCTCACCTGATCAAGATTCCGGTCATGTGCGGTGAGAGGACAGACAGGGTGCACGTAGGCAGGCAGGTAATCATTTACTGCTATCGCAGCGTGACAAGGATTTTGTCATGTTAATGGGAATTTGAAGGTTCAGCCCAGATGTTTTGTACAAAATAGGGAATGAGAATTTTCACATCTTTTCACACATCTTTTATAATGTCACTGTTCAGAGGACCCGTATGGAGAGTAGGAACGATACACATGACAATGAACAAGCCAAGCCTATCATTTCAAAGTGGTTACGTGAAAATTGATGTACTGTAGCTTTCAAAACACAAGCCCACTTGAGTGTTTCTTTAGAGCAGGTACGTTATGTACATTTTGTCCATTAAAAACTGGAGCTGTCTATCCAACATTGTACCAGTGACAGAAAAAAAGACAGACCGGTCACAGTTGAAAGTGTTATTTTTATTTGTAAATTAAATGTAGAATGGTTTTAACATACAAAGAATTGTGCAGTTGGACATGTTCTGATGACACTTAATAAAATGGAGTTTGTTTGAAACATGCTATGAAATCAAGTTTGCTTATCTTGTCAAAACAAATACAAAAAAAGAAAGTACATTAGATACCTTTATCATCAAAAAATGTCAAATATACAGTACATGGAAATTAGACACTATGTTTATATTAATAACATTATGAAGTAGATGTGCCTAGCGTTGAAAATCTTGAATATGAGAATTGAATCCCAAATTATGAATATGATTATTGAAAGACATTGTTGTGTGTTGTACTGCAGGTGCGACCTGCGTCTTGAAGAAAAGGTTTTCAGCCTCCCAGTTCTGGAATGACTGTAGAAAACATAATGTGACTGCTTTCCAGTATATTGGGGAACTCTGCAGATACCTCTGCAACCAGCCTGAGGTAATATTCTGTTCCGTTGCAGAAAGTAGACAAACTCACACACATCCAAACTTGATAAACACCAGGTGCTGGACAGAATTGATGAAAATCAGAAGACAAAAATGTCTTATTTAACTGCCTTCCTGGAAGACACCCTCTAATCTTCTGTTTGGCTTCTAGCAGTGATCATAATATCCTCTTGTTAAAATAATAAGTTGTTGATTTCTGGACATACTGAAAGCAATAATATGTTTTTGATACATTTAGAATCATTTTAGCTATGAACTAAACTTTTTCAATTCCTAAAACAATTACATACATTGTCGCACATGACTTGTGAATCATCCACGTAACTTTGTTTACAACTGTAGCAGTAAGATAAGCAGGGTCTTTGTTTCATTGTTTGCATCTTCCCACTGGACACATGGACATGCACACACACACAGTGTGAGGTCAGAGCTTATCCTTTCATGAAGCTGGACTCAAAGTCCTCTTTGTCCCCTCTCCCTCTGTTATTTGGCTGTCTGGGTGGAAAGCTTGCCATGAACGTCCTCATGATGTGGACACGTACAGCACATACGCACACTTTCACAAGGTCAATAAGCGCACACACGCATTTTTACTAATTCCTGCTTGTATGCATTGTGATCAACATGCAAATTGGCCAACAGGCAAATACACATTTTCTGCAGGTTTGTCTAAGGTAGTTGTTGCTCAGGCATTCAGTACCAAGACTGAACTGTATGATAGTAATTGATAGTATAATATTGATTGTATATGCTGAAGTATATGACCGTCAAGTGTAAATTTAGTCATACTTCTTAAGATTCTATGAATTTCAACCCAATTTCTAGTACTATTTATATATTTTTCTTGTCTAATTACCTTTCTGTATAGTAGTTTTCATTGTTACTGGTGTAGTCTTCCTTTCCCCTACAGCAGTAATCATCAACTGGAAGCCAGCAGGCCAAAACCCCCCAGCAATAACATTTAGCCCACCAGAGAATTTCATATTTTCAGTCAGACACAAACATTTACAGGTACCACAGGTGTCATGGTAGCAACATTTATAGAATCACCTCCTCTATAGCAATTCTACATAGACAGTAAAAGAACAACATTATTTTGAATCCTGCAAAACTTTTTTCAAGCTGAATTACAGAGTTTTGAATCTGAAACATTGTGGACTTTGGTCTGAACATTGTATTGCTTGCTTAACAGACCTCCAGCTGGTAAAGCACACTGTCTTTATATTCATCAAACCAGGTAGGGTCCCTCATACCAAGGAATAATTCTGAATGAGGTCAAATAATTATCAGAACAAATTAGGCCCCAGAAATGATCATAGAAGCAGTAAAGTCATTCTTAAAATTATAATACTTTATTTATTTATAATACTTACTGCTGCTTATAGTCTGCATCCCCCCCACATGTGTGAGTGTTGAAAATTGGTGGATAAAGCCACAAACCAGACAACGTGTCACTGCTGCCTTTTCTGTGATGCTGCCACAAACCCAGACACACCACACATCTGTGGCTCTGTTTGTTTCGGACTGCACAGCACAATATGACAACAGAGTTCACAACAGAGAGCAGTTCACTATGCTTCGATTGTTCTGGCCCACCATCTAATGGCTAAAATAAATTGAACTGGGACCAAAGTTACTTGCCGAACCCTGCCCTACAGGATACACATTTTGTACATGCACACATGAGATTTACACGAAATGTACTTCATATTGTGGATAGCACAAGCAGATGTATATCAGCTTTTCAGCTATCATCTCTTTAAGTTCCACTAAATGATGAGTTCACCATTTCTGTGGCAGACCACATTGTCAGCAGTATTCTATTGTCCCCCCTAACAAAGAAGGCAGTGAATCCTCTGAGCTTCCAGTTTGTCTAGCGCTGTAGGCAGAGATACCAGTTCTTCTTCCGAGTATCTCAGAGTAGCTGCTCAAGGTGTGTGGGTCTAGATTACCAGCCGAGGCCCCAGACCCTAAGGAGCTCCAAAGGGCCCATGCTGATTGTCTGCCAGTTGGTTTGCAGTCTTTCAGTTTCAAGTTTGTTAATTAATATGTAATATAATATATAGCAAATATTTAACTGACTCAAATTCAACTAAAATCTAAGACACAACTAAACACCCTTATTTTAAACTAACTGCCTAAAATATATTTATTGATATGCAAACACATTCATAGTCTTAGTGGTAATGTAAATAAATGGCAAATCGACTGTATTTAGCCCTTTTCCAGTCTTATGACCACTCACAGTGCAATTACATGTTCATGCACACATTCTATACACAACACTATCACACACAATTCATTCTCAATTCATACGATTGAAGGAACTTGGTCAGTTAATGACCCTCTCTGCCTCCTGAGCCACAGCCATTCATTTCTACACTTCAGCTGCTGGCCATAGTTTCATATGGTATGCTGTCTGTCCCTTTTTCTCTATCTCACATACACACTCAAACATAATGATCTGCCCATCTTAATCATACCAGACCAGCAGTGTCCGGGAAAATCCTGCACATGTTGATGGTCTGTTCAAATTCATACTTATCTATGTGGATTTCTAAAACCAATTAAAAAAAAGATGCACTTTGTGAACAACACTTTTAATACCTTAGTCAAAGACGGGGCAGTTTTTTTACTTCACAGCAGCATCTTTACAGTTACAGTTGACATAATTTAGTCCTGATTTGCCCTGACTATTTCCAGCATCTTATATAATTCAGGCTTTGGTCCAGTGTGTGTGTGTGTGTGTGTGTGTGCGTGTGCGTGTGTGGGTCTGTGTGTCTGTGTGTGGGTCTGTGTGTGTGTGTAGGTCTGTGTGTGTGTGTGGTGAAAGACTGCTTTGTCTTGCACCCATTTGCTACAAACCAATTAGTTCTTCTTGCTATTTCTTTGTTTATGACATGCTAACAACCACACACACACACACACACAAACACAAACAAAGCTTGCTCGAAAGCTCTTTTTCCCGTATATTTCAGTGTGGCCGCTTAAGAACACAAATAAAAACGGTCTTAATTGCTAGCATTTACTCATTATTGACAAACTCTCACTTCTGTTTTGCTAATATCTATTCATCTTTCTTCATCAGACAGAGGTAGATAAAGTTCACAAGGTGCGGATGGGAGTTGGGAACGGCTTGCGGCAGGACGTCTGGCGGGAGTTCCAGAATCGCTTTGGAAACGTTAAAATGTGCGAGGTGTATGGCTCCACTGAGGGAAACCTGTGCTTCATGAACCATATTGGCAAGATTGGAACTGTGGGCCGATCCAACTTCCTCTACAAGGTGAGTTATGGGCGACATGGTAAACTTCGTTGAACACAGGGGTTTTTCAAGTGTGAAATAATTGGACATCACATCTTTTCAGTAGCAGTGAAAGTAAATGAAGCCTTAAAGTTAATGCTAACAATTTCTATAGGTGCTCACTTACAATCCCTCTATTTATACAAAGGCAGTGTTGGAACACACTGATACTACTGTACATCCACGGATGCATTATATAGACAATACTGTTCTGTAGGAAGTAGTTCTGTATATTTCTACAAAAAGATATTGACTTATTGAGGGGAAGTGATCTTGATCCTCTCTGTGAAAGCTCTCAGCTTATTACAAGCTGCTCCACACGCACTCCAACTCCTCATCATCGCACAAGTGGACCACAGGGATTAGTTAGCCAATTTATAGCAATTGTAGATGACATTTTAGAAGAAAGAAAAAGAAATAAGAAATTAATGTATTAAAAATGAAAAGGAATTGGCAATAAGAGTGGCTTTTATTCATTACGTAGTCTTTTTATGATTATATATTTGGAAATGCGTGGTTATACAAGGCTTGATAATGACACAGCTAATATGAAAATCAAATACAAATACATAAAGTATGTCTTGAAAGTAGTTTCAGTAGAGCTTTTGGAGATAAGAGGCATAAGAGGTTATAAGATAACACAGTTGCCGTAAACAAAAACACATGATTAATGCAGAGGAATTTATACGTTATGTCCGACATTTTCCTGTGTTCGAATCTTCTACAGCATTTTTTCATATGTGAACAGCAAAGTCGGGAGAAAATGTCCAGACATTTTCCGCAGTATGTGCTTAAAGTCTAAACATACATATCTGACCTAGTTTGTAAGGTAGCGTGTGTGTTCAGAAGGAAAATTGTGAAGGGGTGCTGTGTCTACAAGGTACTGGCTGTGTTTTTCCTCTCAAAGCATTTCAGTAATGTCTTATTGGCATTAGACCAATGTAAGTTATGCGGGGTTATAGCAGGCCACTGAATATCTCTTAGGTTGACTGAGGAGAGCACACTACCACTGTGAGCTAGTGAAGGCTGTGTGCTCTGCCAGCTCCACCAGGAATACACTGTTAAAAACCGAGCTTTATTGACAATATCAGCCTGTTCTGGGAAACAAAAGCGTTACAGAATTGACAGGGTTCATTTCAAAAGAGTGGGAGTCCATAGTACATACCAGGTCCTTCCTGCTCCCCACTGCTGGTATATAGTGGGATAACAACAAGGACCTTGTGAGGTATTAATTTGAGTGTTTCTCACAGAAGGTTCTTCTGTGATTAGGTCCTCCATTTAATTAAGTGCCTCATTTTTTAACTTTTCATTAATTTCTCAATATCTTCTAAATGGCTTACTCTCTGCAAGGCATTATGGATATTTAATTATTGTCCGTATAATGTATAATACACTTATTCTTAATCTCATGTCTGTTTGAGTACAGAACTAGAGTCAGGACATGTTCAGCTTACCTTGATAGAGAAACCAGAAACCGAAGGAAACAGCTTGATTCTGTCCAAGGTTCCAAAGCACACCCACAAGCATTCCATTGGCATGGAATCTGATGTAAATAACTGCATAGTGTCCACCACACAACTTCATTTGAATAGCACTGTACAGACAACTCATCTGATCCAGAGTGCTTTGTTTCTACAAAGTAGAGCAAAAGAAAAGGAGACAAACACAAGATATACAGTTAACACTATAAAGATTACACAAAGACTAATGTGTAATAACTGTTAGAGTTGGGTTTTGCTCTGGACAGAAGTATATACAACATTTCAATCAAACAGTAAGTATATAGAAGGATATAAATGGAACGATTTAAAGTATTATCTGTTATGACTATATAGTAAACATATAGGTGTACTATTGAGTTACAGTCTACTATATGTGCACAACTCACAGTAGACATGAATAACACGCAGATACACATATATGTGTGGTGTGATCAAACTCCAGTTGTGCTTCAGCCACAGACTGTGCCACACAATCCTTTTAATACACTAAACTTAGTGTTGTTTAAATATCAGGTTGCTGTAATGATTCTGTCATCAAGTTGGTACAATCCGACTTCGTTAATACTAGTCAGTCAAGGTTTAAACAACACTTGTCTGTTCAAGAAGTGCTTCCCACGTTCACTTCCCAACTTCCTATATTCTTAACTGGGGTAGAAGCAAAGTGCCAGACATGAATTTGTCCAGTGAAGTGCACATGTTAAGCTGAGTAAACTGTGGTGAATGGTGGGGGAAGGGTTAAACAGCTCAGGGGAGGGGAATTATCCATTTTGACTATAACAAATTCGCTGCAGATAAACCAGGTGGGATAAACACATAGTTCTCTCACTTAACTCTGCAAGATAGACTGTTACATTTAAAATGTTTTTACAACAGTAAGATGTTTGTTATTGTTATGTCAAACTGGACATTTTGTTCTGGAGACCAAGCAGCCAGTCTGTTGAGAAAGATGACCACTAAAGTAGCTTCCCTGTAGCTGTCATAGGTATTAGCCTCACTAAGGAAGAACTGAGTATAGCTGTTAATCTGAGTTACAAAAGAGGGGCTTCGTGTATTTAGCTTTAATCTCTGACCTCATCTGGGCTATTTTTAGATCTGTCACACTGCCCTCCTGCTGGCCCACAAACTTATAAAAGTGAAGTTATCAAACATTTTATTTTAGGACACATATCCTGTGTTAACAGGATTAAAAGCTCTGGGTATTCTTAGATTTAGTTTTGGCAGAGTTCCTTTGCGGAAAGCCTTCATTTATAGAATATTTTTTCTCATTGATGCCTTTTAAATGATTATTAGGAAACCAATTTTCTGATATGAAAAATCAAAGGTGTTGTTATGTGTATATGCGTGTATACAGCTTAAAAGAGGGAGGAGGGATACACCTATAGAGTTATGCAGACCTAAAAATAACCACAGTTATGGGCATCTTAGAGCAGTTGCAACACTACATATATTCATGACGCAGATTGTATGTGGTGTTTACTGTACAAAGATACTTTTGCTGTGGATAAACATGGACTGTGTCTACAGAAACAAAAGTCCCTCCGATTGTTGTTCCATAACCCTCAAGCTTTGTTCACAAAACAAATTTGTCAAGAGATAAAACTTGTGTCGCTACAGTTGTCAGTTGTCGTAGTCATCCATGGAAATTATAAAAGTGTCTAGTATAAAGTAAACCGGTCTGAACATACACAGTAAAGTACAAGTGTCATCACATTACATTACTTTAAATGAACTGTAACTTAAGCCAGTCACATACCCTTTCCATAAAACTTTTTCTGATTAAGCACTCTGATTATGACAGAGATTTTTGCAGGTCAGAGTGGAGTGGTAATGTGATACATTGGCTGTATGTTTATGGAGGAGCAGCCACTATACAAGGATGGTTACATTTCATGATCAGAACTGACAAACATGATCTGCCACATTCAGGAGGAAAGGGAGTCTGAGGACAGGATTCCCAAAGGTGGCAAGGGAATGCAGATGCCAATGTGGCGTCAGATGCAGGACATCCATAGAACAAGCTCTTCAAGAAGGGTTTCAGCTGCGAGTCCAGCTAAACAAATATAGAATTTGGTGTGCCTTCAGCCTTGCAGGATTGAAATACACATTTGTGTTATAAATGAAAAAAACAGGGACACAACTAAAATATATTTAAGATAAGATAAGATAAGATAGACTTTATTCATCCCACACTGGGGAAATTTGGACATTACAGCAGCAGAAGGGCA